AAAATCGAAAGAAAAAAGATTCGAATATCTTTCCTTTATATAAAATTTTTAAAAATATTAAATGTTAGCTGAGATTTAATTTTAAAACTTAATTATTAAGATATTAAAGCTATGTAAACCTTAGCAAATAAATAAATTCCCATCAAGCTTTTATCCATTTTCAATAAACGCAACTGCCTATTCTACAAAGGAATAGATAATGAGTTGAGATGGAAGAGTGGATATTGCTTTGTATAATATTTATAGTCTAAAGGTTCAAATTGATGTGCGGCTTATTTAGAAAAGTGCTCGGAGTGAAGGGGTTTTCTCAAACGAGTTAAGAGCAAACCAAACGAAGAAATCGCACCGACGCTTCCGCTTTGCTCTTTTCTCTATTGAAGAAAACTATAAGACTTTTGTCACTTTTATATTTAAAAATTGGAAATTCAAAGAAAGACCATTTATGTCGTACTGTTGAAGACTGAAAGAAGGAATGAGAGATGAAGCGGTATTTACCGGTAATGATTCAATCTGCTTTTATCGTCTCATTTCATTCTTACACTTATGCCTCCTTATTCAGATATTGTTTTATTCATTAAAGAAAGTAGGACCTTATCGTGAAATTGAGTCATATGAATCATTGCTCACTTTTCGAGCTGTCTCTTTTATCTTTAACTTTTCATTCTGACCATTTTACCGAAGGATTTTATTTTGTAATGATGGGAGTTTTGTGATAGATGTACCGGTTATTGCATCAACTGATACTGATATCACATTTACTGTTGAAGCATCATAAGACTTCAAAAAACTCCTCAGTTGAAAGCTCTTCAGATACATTTTTATACTATAAAAATGGCACTAAGTGAGACAATTCCACTTATGTCCTTAATCATTTGCACCTTATGTTCATCTAGGAAGAAGAAATAAGCTATTATCATTTGGTATTATTTTTTATTCTTAATAGCATTTCTTGCTCAATTAAATGACACAGTTAAGTGATTAATACTCGAAATGCATCTTGACCGATTATTTTTCAATATTTCCTACACCAATGACAAACGTCGAGAATGTTATGTCTTACTTGCAGTGATTTCAGAAATTAATTCCGTTTCATTCTAGCTTCAGATATCGAAGAAAGAAAGACTTGGGCTGAAAGTTATAATCTGATCTAAAACACTGCAAAGAATCTTAATTGACTTCAATAAAAGTCAGCGGTCAAAAAGATCTTAATCGTTCATGAAATATTTGATTAATTGAAGACTTTTCATCATTTCTTTCACATCCTCATATTCCATATCAAATGAAAAATATGTGACTTAAAATCTTCTGTTAATTTAAAAATAGAATTTCGGCTAATAACTGTATTAAAATTCACAGCGTTTTTCTACTTTGGAAAAAAGTTGTATGGAGATATTAGCGGATACTTTCAAAGGAAAAAAAATTAAATTTGAAATTGTAAGAAATTTAACTTATATGTGTCGACATAAGTTTTCACTAATGTTCTGTTATCAGAATCTCAAAATAATCTATATCTTCATGGCATAAATTCGAAAATATTGAAAAAATTGACAGGCAAGCAAGCGTGTCAAAAGAGAAAAAGTAATGCTATTGGTTAAATGCATTATAATTTCTTATCGTATTATTCATTTGATGCGAAATAATTTAATATATGAAATCAACAAAAGGCCTAAAAATTGTTCATGCATTGCAGAAAAATATTTTTGAAAAATAAATTTCATGTGGATCAATTTGGAAGTTAATTCATATGATATTTCTTATTTCCAGAGACTTCTCTTTTGGATGTCTTATTTATTATTGATATGCTTAGAAATTAATCATAATGCTCTCACTTCTGCTTTATCACTGTCATTAAATCCTCTCCTCTTTTCTCCATATCATTAGTTATCAAAAATAAATATTCTCAAATTATTTTTTTCCTTGATTTGGTGGTATCCTACATTTTAAAACGCTATCATTACACTACATTTCAGATTCAACTAATTTTTAGAAAACATCCTGCATTTCCTCTATATTTGTTTTTTTTTTTTAAAGATGCAACTCAATCTTAAATCTTATTGAATCATTCAACTAATTAAATTTCACCGCCTTAAATGTTCTTATTGGGGAAGAATTAAGTGTTGAAGAATTTTTAAAGGGTCAGTAACCAAAGATTTCAGTATTCGAGTAAAGGGGTAATTTGACAATTTGTTTCTGGAGGGGAAATTATTTTTATTGACTGGTGTGGAACTTCTGTAAGGAAGGAGCCAAAAATAAAAGGTTAACGTGGAAATATAAATAAAAAGTCTTTCAATGTGATGATTGTTTGAAAATTTGGCGATGTAATGGCTTGCCACAATTATTAAAAGCTGTAAATAAGTGGGAACTGTTATTCTTGCTTTCTCGCCTTTCCATTCAGAAAATTTGTTCTATGTTCGACAAAATTTTTTCCCATAGAAATATACGCCTTGATCCATTCTCCTTAAGCAAATTCAGCATTTTTTCAACTTCGACTATCAACGTACATATCACCTGGGCAGGCATGAACTTGAAAATTTTTGTCCGAAAATGTCAGTACAAGTCACTTTAATTGACAATTCATCTAAAACATTTAGTAGTTGTACTTTTCAATTCACACTTGCGCTTACATTTTCAAAATCCTAGAATCATATAAAACAAGTTTGTAACTTACTGCGGTAAATTAGGGCAGTAGGAAAAAAAAGTTGCAACACACATTACAAATATTATGCTAGTAGAAGGAGGGCATTAAAATTTTTAATAGACTATGGAAGTTAGGGGATTCCAGAAATTTTTGAATTTTAAGGAATTTACGTTCGCTATAAGTAGCAGACGTACAGAAGCGATCTCAAAAATAATGTAATGATTGTATGTGACTTCATAAGAAGATTGCTTTTTGACAATTGAAATTTTTGAATAGGATTTAGTGTTATTCAAGAATTGACCTTAACTTTACCGCCTTATTCTTTAAAGGCTTTTACTTATCCGTGAGGTTCGTAAGATCTAAACATTATTCACAACTCCAAATTTTTGCTGAAGATGCGATTTATTTGCGAAATTTGGTAGTTTTTTAAACAGGTAATGAAAGAATTTTGCAGAAGAAAAATGGTTGCTTCTTCGAAGGATTTGTGGAATTTAACAATAGAAAAGATACTGAAAGGAAAGAAAGAACGATATCAAATATTATCAGTATCGATGTGAAGGGAAACAAGGAGGCTCTCTGTTGGTATGCCTGTGGTTAAACGAGGACTCGTCGCTCCACAAAATACATTCCTTGAAAATGTTATTAGGCGCTGCAATAATTCTGGTATGTTCTCAAGAAACTGATAATAAACAGTGCATAAAAAACATACTTCTGATGGCAACACTTAGACTTCTAGTATCTAAACCAAACATTGTCAGATATTATGATTTTAGAATTATTTATAAAGAATCATCGAAAAATGTTTCTGCAACAAAAGAAATCGCTGACCACTTGACATTAAATTGTTAATCACAAAGTGTGGTTAGGCAATTTATGGGTTTTTCTAATATGAAACAATAAGTAGGCTGGATTATGGATGTTATATATTTGGGTAAGCATTTACTAAAAAGCTTGTTAACAATGAATCTCCCAAGAATCCAAACAATAAGACTTTCACATGGGATAATTGAGAATCCGAAAACTGACCAAGTCACTTTACCAAATTCCTGATTCATTAGTCTCATTTTTATTTGGACTGGAAACCGTTTTTACAGTTGTGAACCTTAACGGAAATGTATTCTGTCATTTCAGTTAAGTCATAAAAGAAGTACAATGATAGTTACACAAATATCGAATCATTCTAATAGGATACTTCCCACCATCAGGTCCTCAAATTTATTAGTAATTGCTAGTTAGAAATTAAATCTAGTGCAGGAAATATAATTGGAATTGGAACTGCTCGTAAGTAAAAGTTCATGGTTTGATCAAATCAAAGCAATAATTGCAGTTAAAGTGAGAAAAAAAGTACTACTAATGAGAAGAAAGAAATTTAAAGATAAACGATCGCAACAGTAGTGCGTTCAGGCGGAGATGAGATGATACAATCAATAAATGATTATAAAGATAATTTGCTACATAAAGACTCAAATAACCTTTGTCGCATATATGTCCTCTCAGATCTGATTCTTTTTTTCTGTTGCACAATTGAATTGAAATGAATTATGCATGAGTTGAAAGTCACAAAGTTTTCATCTAATCTCTCAGGTACTTTACTTTTGATATATGACTGCCTTTTTGTAGATACTAGTTTTATACTAGCAAACGCTCAAATAGTAGAATATCCAATCGTGTATTGCAATGATGGTTTTGCTAAAATGGTGGGATATTCCAGGGCTGAAATTATGCAGAAACCTTGCTCGTGAGTTTGCACAATGGTTCCTTTCATTTCATACTATTTTGCTTCATACTTTAAAAAAGCTAACCAAATGTGACTTAAGTGCAATTATTTTTTTCAGTGCAAAGCATTTCTATTTGTTTCATTAAAATGAATGAAATTGAGAGGTCAGGCTATAAATGGCCTGAACCATTTCGATAGATTACTAGACGTCTCTTCGTTTACTTGATAGTACTATTTTGAAGACTTTCCTTCATGCATGCCGACTACAGTGGACCTGAAGCGGTGAGGAAGATTCAAAATGCGCTTGATATGTGTCAACACGAACAAACAGAAATTGGTCTACGCAAAAAAAATAGTTCGTATTTAGAAGATACATCAAAAATTTTCAGTTATATTTAAATAAATTTAACATTGAATTTAAGCTGCTTTTTGAAAAATGAAAAAGCTGAAAAGTAAGCAAAAATTGAGGGTCTATTGATTTCATTGAAACAAGAAATGTTCGTCTAAGCTCTAATTAAACTTCACCATGTCCAGTCATTATTAACATACTATCATATTGTATTACTTGATACTATCATATAGCCAATGAAGAAAATTCTTAGTTAATTCAAAAACTTTTCAGGAAGTCTTCTTTGGTTGTTGGTGCACATTGCTCCAATCAAGAATGATCGTAATCAGGTGGTACTGTATTTGTGCCAATTCAGGGATATCACACCTCTTAAACAACCGCTTGATGATGAAAATAATAAAGATAAGGATGCTTTAATTTCATTTGTTTTATGATAAAACTTCTCTACACTGTCTTATCAAATTTTGACCCTCGAAGGAGCTTTATTTTACAAAGGAAAATTTTTTCTTGTACTAAATTTCTAACATAATTCAACAAAAACAGATTTTTACTGAATCTATCATCATAAACTGCAACTTAAATTAGTAATGATCGATTCCAATACAGTAGAATATTCGTGGAAAAAGAATGGTATCAGTAGACCAAAAAACCAAAAATTGGGAATAAATTATTGTATTCTTGCCTTGTTTCTCGCAAGTGTAAAATTAAATCTCATATCAAGAAATCTTGGTAAATTGATATTATTGACCATCACTTGGGCATATAATTGATATTTTAAAATTAAATAATAAGCATTTTTTTATTTAGGCTTCTCGCGAATTCTGCAAATTGCAAAAATTGCAAAAAGCAGGCAACAATTTAATCAAATTGAAACGAAAGATCTGCACAAGACGACGAGTACGTCGTCATCAAACTTCAATCAGGTTATCAAAGTTTGTCTTACAGTACTTTTATTTTCTTTCCATTCACATCATTTCTTACAGTCATCCTTATTCACATATCACCTTGAAGTATCATTAGATTTTGCTAGCATGAGCTGATCAAAATTTAGATTGAACACAAATTTTTAGACGAGCAGTATTAACAAGCAACTATAAGAATGATCAAAAATAACTGTCAATAATAAGATAAAGACGTGAACTTTATAATCAGGTGATGAACCTCGGTGGCGATCTATTACCACAGTATCGGCAAGAAACACCAAAAACATCACCACACATCATTTTACATTATTCAACATTCAAAACAATATGGGATTGGTCTATTTTGGCTCTTACATTCTATACTGCTTTTATCGTACCTTACAATATTGCCTTCAAGGTTGCCTTCTTTATTCGCTAATCTCAATTAGCATTTTTCTTTTTTATGGCTATGAAAACATTCAGATTGTTGAATAACTTTTTTTATTATTGGATAACTTCTGACATCTCTGATTCCATTACATCACTTTTCTCATAAAAAATTATAAAATTTCAATTCTTAATTTCTTGTTGAAACATTATCATTATTGCATGTAATTAGTTGTAAAGTTGACAAAATCTCACTAATTAAAAGCACTTTATAAAAACAACAAAATTTATTTGCAGACTCGGGAACATCCACCCCGTGGTACCATTGATATGGTCGCTCTTATGGATTCTATCGTTGATGTAATATTTTTTGCCGATATTTTATTAAATTTTCATACAACATTCGTTGGTCCCGGTGGCGAAGTAAGTGTTGCTTGAATAGAATTTTGAGAATAGATTGAATTAACTTAAATATGAGTATCTTACCTCAAATGTCAGAAACATTTCTCAAAATTTATGAATGCTGAAGAATTGAATTTTATAATTTTTGAATTAATTATATATTATCAAACAAGACGATATGCGCACTTTCTTAACGTTTTGTTTTAAATAATTTAACAAACTATAAATAAATGCAATAACTCTTATTCGTAGACAGGTTTTTTTTCAAGAAAAGCGAAAAGTGCAAAAGAAGAAAAGCACTTTTTGGTAGAGTGCTCAAAATTATATATTAGTGTATGTTTACATGTTAGCTAACTTTAACTTGGTTTTTGAACTTTTTTTCAAAAAAACGTCATGTAATTAAATTTTTTGAAATTTTAGAATTTTAGTAAATTATAATGGTTGAGTTAATAACAAAATCAATGAGTACCATGCGTTCTTCTTCAATCTTAATTAAAATCACCTGCTTACTTCTTCAGGTAGTAATCGATCCGAACATAATTAGGTATAACTATTTTAAGTCTTGGTTTCTCATCGATCTTCTTTCTTGCCTTCCATATGATATATTCTACATGTTTAAGCATAATGATGAGGTAAGTTTCTTTTATTTCAAGTGCTTCTTTCCACACTTTTTTTTTTGAATTACTTTAAACATTGTACTATGACATAAAAAGAGATTTCATAGCACTTTCCACTTATTTAAATGATTTCATGATAGTTTGAATATTATTGGATCGATTTCTTTGCAGAGGATGGGATCATTGTTAAGTGCATTGAAAGTTGTACGTTTACTGCGGCTTGGACGTGTAGCACGTAAACTTGATAATTATCTAGAATACGGAGCAGCAACATTACTTTTACTTTTATGTGCTTATGTACTTGCTGCTCATTGGTTAGCATGCATATGGTTTTCCATTGGTGAATATGAAGTTAAGATAAGGGTATATTTTTGTGTTATTTTTTGAACTTTTCTAAAAGTCTTACTGTATAGATAATGAAATTGTCCGTTCTTCCGGAATGATTGAATTAATTTTTAAAACTTTAGAATAATCTTTGATTTCAAACTTTAAAATAATCTTTCTAATGTCCAAGATTTAAATCTTCATTTGACTATTATTTTTGGTTTTTCAGTTTTTAGTACCAACCATGCCTGAAGGATGGTTAACGAAGCTATCGAAGGAACTGAACTCTCCTTTTAATTATACCTTCAAGGATAGGCTGAGGTTGGTTGGTGGACCTCAGCGAAGTTCTGCTTATATTAGTGGTAAGATTAACTTCGTTGTCCACATCTGCAAATGACATTTTTTCATTACCGATCGGACGGCATATACATATTAATAATGTTTTTCGATTTCATTTCTTGCTTCCTTCATCTGCGAAGTGCATAGAATGTAATTTTTTGAATAATTAAAAATTTCAGCTATGTTAAAAATTATTGAATTAATCTGCAGCATTGTATTTCACGATGTCCTGCTTATCAACAGTTGGTTTTGGCAATATAGCATCCACAACTGATAATGAGAAAGTGTTCGGTGTATGCATGATGATCATTGCTGCACTCCTATATGCTGCTATATTTGGCCACATGACGAATATTATACAGCAAATGACATCTGCTACCATAAGGTGACTGGTAGTTTCATTTCATATATATCATTTTGTTGATAAGATCTTTTTTCCTGGATGTTGTGAGTAGAAAGATAAATGAAGCTTTTTTGGTATTTTCCATTTGGTAAAAGATGGAAGTTATACATTCAACTGTAAGCAGCGTCGGATTTTTTCAGATATCACGATATGATAGCAAATGTTCGAGAATTTATCAAATTACAGGAAGTACCAAATGAGCTTGCTGAACGGATAATGGACTACGTAATTAGTACCTGGGCTATGACCAAGGGTATCGATACTTCAAAGGTTTGTATTTCCTTGGCGAAATTATTTTAAAAAATGAGATTTAAAAGAAACATGAGAAAACTCTGAGATAAACTCAAAATGTTTTGAAATTTATTGCTAGGACATTTGGACACTTTAATGCCAATTCTTAAAGAGAATATTGCTAATTGAAGTGAACCGGTGAGACTCTAAAGTTTAATTGTGAAGTCATACAAATCGAGTCAAAAATTGATTCATTTCGTTTCATCTAAGGTACTCAGTTATTGTCCGAGAGATATGAAAGCAGATATTTGTGTGCACTTGAATAGAAAGGTATTCAACGAACATGCATGTTTTCGTCTTGCTTCTGATGGCTGTCTTCGACAATTTGCCGTACATCTAGAGGTTTTTGTTTGTTTCAGAGGTTCAAAAAGGGAAACACTCTTACTCAATTTTAATTTCATGTAATTTCATGTAAAATAATTTTAATTTCATGTAAAATAAAATGAAATCAATTGGATTTTGAAACATGGGGAATCCAGAATATTTTTTAGCAAACCATTGAATTTTCTTGAAATTTGTTAACCCTATGAAGCCTATCTCGCCATAAACTAAGGTGACTGGACTCCAACAGTATTAGAGGCACCTATATTTCTATGATACTTTGCGAGCTTTATTGTTGCAACAAATTTGTTGATGAAAATGGAGAATTTTCTAATAGCTGGCTGATGCAAAATGTCCTGCACTGGAATCATCACGCAATTCGGATGGTCTTGATGATGAAACTAAGAATTAATATGAAAAAATTTGCTCGTATTGAAAACAAAAAAAATCTGACGAGAATGATTGCAGAGCAATCATGCAGCTCCCGGTGATTTGATTTACCATACTGGAGAATCGGTTGATGCGCTATGGTTTGTTGTCTCGGGATCACTTGAAGTGATACAGGATGACGAAGTTGTCGCCATTTTAGGTGCTGCTTATATTTGAAAGTCGTAAACTTATTTTTCAGATATTATTGTTTTGTATCAGATTTACAAATCTTGATAACTGATTGCAATTATTTGTGTACAAATATTTTGATCCCAGTCATTTTGTACCTCTTGTTGCTTATTTATATGAGCGTTCAGGAAAAGGTGACGTCTTTGGTGATGAATTTTGGAAGCAACTTAGAACAGGTCAAAGCGCTGCCAATGTACGTGCTCTCACCTACACAGATTTACATTCCATAAAAAAGAATAAACTTATGGAGGTAAGCGGGTCATTTTTCACATTTCACTGACAACTCAATAAAAAAGGCTAAATTTTTCTGAAAGTCCTTTGCCGAAATTACTAGAATGGTTTAACACTTTAGTTATAATTCTATCAGATAGATTGGTTGAACCAAACTTTGACCATCCATTTCAAATGGCTTGAAAGATTTTTCCCTCAGAGTTAATTCTTTTTGCTGTAAAAAAAAAAAAAAAAATATTTTATTCAAAATTCTTGTTAAAAAATTTCAAAAAAGCAATTTTCCAGAAAAATTAACTATTATTTTTGAAACAAAACAATTACAGGTGCTTGATTTCTATAAAGCATTCGCGAATTCGTTTGCTCGCAATTTGGTGCTAACATACAATCTCACTCGTCGAGTATTTTTGTCTTAAACAATTTTTTTCTTTTGATTTTTGGTTTTTGGTCCATTAATTGCTGATGAAGAAACAATCACAGATGCATTAAAAAAAAATGGCTTCTAATCGTTTTTTGAGGTTGCGTGTTTCAGTTAAAATTCCGTAAAGTAGTTGACGTGAAAAGAGAAAAAGAACTAGATGAAAGACGTAAAAATGAGAAACTTACGGTGTCAGCGGAACACTCGGTCCGGAAACTATTATTTCGGATGCGCGAGAGGCATGGTGCTCGAATACTTCCATCACAGGTGTTTGCTGATCTCGAACGGGTTCGTTGTTCATTTAACAACACCGGAGAGGTGTAATATAAAGTAATTGTTTAGATATCGAATTCTAATTCTAGGGAAGTAATCGCTCGGCTTTTTCAATTATTATGATCTTAGCAACAATCATATTGATGAGACATAATGCCTGTTTCAGCAAGCCAGGACAAGGCCATCGGGAATGCGAACGAGCACTGCTTCAGTGGATGATTTGCACGAAGTGCGTTGGAGTGCTGGTGTTCAACGAAATACCGATGATATTGTAAGTTGCACACTTTACAAGACCTTACCTTATTCAGCGGCTTAGATTCCCTTACAATATTCGAAAAACAATCACCAAAATAAGCAGAAGGCACATTTTCGATAATAATTTTTTTACTATTATGAGCTTAGCTGAAGCAGATATCTGGTAAGGTCAAATGAAGTAAGGCATGAATACATTTGCAAATATTTGTTGGTCCGAATAATACCATTGAAGAAGTTAAACGTACTGCATCCTGAACTGAAGATATGCTTCGAACACATTGAGGAGAAATTGCAAGCAATTAATTATATCTCTCATAAATTGGAGAATTTGGAAAAGCTTGTTTTCGGACTGTATCATCCTGCTGGAGGTATGTTCTATTAACACCTTTTCTGTGAAACATTATATATCCTTAAATCTTCTCTCCGGAAGTATGTGCAAGAGAATTTAGTTTACTTCACGTTTATTTTGTTTAACATATATTAAGAAAACAAAGATGTCAACGTAAAAGGACGTGATGGTGGTGTTGTGCGCACCGTTAGAGAACTCAATTGTTGTATAATGCAAATAATCAGAACTATTTCTCTATGATAAACAAATTCTTCGAGTGTTTGTCTCTTCATTTCTTCTAAATTCACTGAATGAAATGGTTAAAACTGACAATCAATGTGGATAAATCTTATCATCCTAACAGCGATGAGAACTTTTCTGGAATGTAGGAAATGATGAAATGAACATTGCTGGAACAAAGGAAGGCGAACAACAACAGTCATTGTCTCGGACGATTGCAACAGATTTAGTGAGGGATCCATTTGCATCATTTAATTCATCGTCGTGTATTCAAGCAACATCCCAGTTACCCATTTCCATCCCACCACTACAGGATCTCAGTATGGATGACGAAAATGATGAATTCCAGACGTCAACACCAAATTTTTCCACATTGGTATATGTCGAAGATGAAATAGCAAATGGTAGTTTGAGTCCACCAAAACTGAAACGTATTTGATATTTTTTATATAATTAAATCAGAAATAGATCAGTATACTTGCCTGATGATTCGATGTAATTTTAATTAAATCGTCATTTGTAAGCAATTTGACATAACCAGACATCCATTGCTCAGGTCAAGGATCCAAAGTCGCTAAAGTATGGTCAAGACGAAGATTAATCGCCAGGAAAATCAAAATTCTTAATTTACAACTCAAAAAGTTTTTGAATTGAGCTTAACTCGGAAATTGTATTTTCGTCGTTCATCTCATTGTGCCTTTAATAATCTTTTCATTTACTTAAAGCTTTAACCTACGCAAACAAACTTTATCATTTCGATCTCCGAATTTCTAGAATGAACTATTCCTTATTTTATTGCTAAATTGTAATAATCTTTTTTACGAAATTTGTTTATTTATTGTGGACACAAGAAGGAAAAGGAAAAAATGTTAATTGAGCATTTTTGTTCTCTGTGGTTATAAATTACTGTTACATTTAATTTTATATCTGATTGGTGAAATATGCCATCCGAAAGTGTTGAAAGTCTATTCTAGAAACAATTGGTCTTCTAATTTTGGAGATATTTAGTTTCGAAATTCCAAACATAATTAGCCTCACTTCTTGTTTTCTTCTTAATAAGTCAACTACTGCATGTTGTTCATCAGTTGTTGATTGCTTGAATTCACTGAACAATGCTTTTATAAAAGATTTTGCTTTGCTGATGTTAGTTTCTACTTCACTCTAAATTTCATTTTGACTTCACCACTGTATAAATACCAATTTTTACCTTAAAGGCACTATTTCTGGAGAAATGAAATCGATGAGATGCTCTGAATTAGTTGGAAGGGAGGAAGAGGGGAGGAGATGATGAAAGGAGAGAACAGCATTTTGAACCCCATTTGCTACAAATATTTTTTGGTGAAATATTTTCAAATTTAGTAGTACACTCACCGAGCATTATGTTGATTGTATTCTCTACCACATACTACTGGAATAGAATCATCTTGTTTGTTAACTGTAGTGGTTTTTATGTGATAAGAATTATACTAATGAATGATTACATTACATCCGATTTTCGTATGCTTGAAATGACCAATTAGTTTACTTGATACGGTTTGCAAAATAGTAGCAAAAGTTATAGAATAATGATAATGAATTGGTGGTGAGTTTGAAATTAATAACAGTCTCGACTATTCATCTGTTACCTAATGCAAATAAATTAGCAACGGTCGTAAAGGGTCATAATAGTATTTGTATTTGCTAAGATATTTTGAATTTTGAGAACTTATAGAGTGATTCTGAAAGCCAATAACGTGACGTTACTTTGCTAAATGACATCGGATGTCAACATTTTTCGTCAGCTTTTCTCGATTGTTCTAAAGTGAATTGCGTTTTATTTTATTCTTTAACAAAATTATTTTACATTAATCATTACTTTAACTCATTGTTGAAAAGTCCAAACTTGCGGAATCGATATAAATTCCGCAAAAAATTGACATTTTTCGAAAAAAATTTATGAAAATATGTGGGTCTTAGTTCAAACCGTGCGGCAATAAAGATGCCATTAGGTTTTTTTCGTAACTAAAATAGGTTTTGTAACAATCGCAGTAGCAATTATTACAAAATTAAAAAGTAAGAAATCCAATAATTCGCTTTATCATATCACATAGCTATCGCAGATAACATATAAATGAATCGCAGATAGCAAATAAAAAAAGTATATGCTTAAAGCAACTTGATCGGAAGCATCTGTGGAAAAGTATTTGTCGAAAAAGTGCTGGCGTCTCTTTGACGTGGATTGTGAATATGAGTTTGCACTGTAGCAACTTTTTTCATTACATTGATCGCTGGAACAGAAACACCAATGCTCCGTTATGTCATACTGAAACCCTTTCTACATTGCGATCAGATTTCTGACCAGTCAAACAAAACTGACAATATCTGTGATGAATTTACCCTAAATGAATAATTTTATATAACTTCATATCTCTTTTCGGGAAATAATTTCCTTGGAAAGTTTTACAACTCTGCAAATTTATTTCGCCTCAATTTAATTCCGGACTTAAATTTGCTCCTAACTAAAGCTAATGTGCAGTGAGTGATCATCTGTGGATGCGAAAATTTGATGCAAAGTCATGCATTCAACATAAACCTGTTATTTCAGATTACAAAATGACACAACCCTGAAAATTTTGCGAAAGATATCTATTTCCGGGAAGATTTACCATATCAAATTCAGATGACAAATAATTCCCAATGTGAGAAACACGTGAATGTGGGCCAAGACCGAGTTGTGAGTGTTGATCGCTGGTTAAGAATTGCGAAGAACAACCGCGAACGGTCCCTGTAACCGGATTTGTGGAATTAGAAGTAATGAGGGTTACATGAGGGTTGGATGATGCAAATTCCGATAATTGACAGATAAAGCTTTGTTTGATTCTTGTTTGTCTTCGCACATCATTTTCGCTTCTTTAACAAAAACTCTCAAAAGTATTGACGACTCTCTGAACTGCTTCATTTCCACTCAATTCGATTCTTTTCTTGCAAAGTTGGAAAAGTAACGAAACGTAAACTGAACTTTTTCAACAACAGATTCTTTAAAAGAAAAATACCGAGTACTTAAGAAATTTCAAGTTTGGATCTCAAAATTTGGGAGAACTCTTCAAAACTTGGAAATATCAAGTTAATAAATATCACATTGTCACGTTTAAGAAATTCCAAACTGCCTACCAAGAACAGTGACTACTCCATTATGTCGGTTGGTACCATTTAGATACATGATGAAACAGGTCGAGGGACAAAGCTGCGTTATTTCAGGTGTATAATCCGATTTAGCACAACTCTGGTCACTCGCTGTAATGCCATAATTTCGTTTCAGAAAAAAATGTCGCCAGTGCCAAACAATGAAATCATTAGCGCATGAATAACATTTGATTGCTTCCACGATGACAGTACCCGACTGAATGTAGTAATGGAGTACAAGGATGAGTACTGGTAGATTATGCGGTAAAAATATGGGAGCCAAGTATGAAATCATCGCTGATAAGCATCGGTTCCGTAAATTTATCACTCGTTTTCTCAAATTGCGATCCTTTTCCCGCAGAAGTCGATAATGATAGTTGCAATAGTATTATTTTAAGTAAATTATTCCTTTCATAGTTTCGCAGAAGATTTTCGCACAATCCGCAATTCAGGTTAGTATAAATCCGTCCCTGAAAACTTCTATAGACTATTTGTTCTAATCATATATTCATGTAAAAATCCAAGCACCATATACTGTGATGTGCAATTGAATCAACGGGGCCGATCCATCGCCAAGATAATCTTTCCACCTTTTTCTTTGCACTTCTTATCACCATTTTAAGGATAAAAAAACATCATTACTCCCTTTGTCATGACAAAAACTTGTCATGCGAGGGTTATTATGTGTTTATGGTCCCATTGGTAAAAGTACATAACATCAGAAAGAACAAAAATTCAACACCTTGTTTTCCTGCAATGAATCTTTAATTGAATGTATAGAGTTGATCACAGATAGCTAATTTGGCGGAATTTTAACTCCATTAAAAGTTCTTTGCAATTATTTGTGGTAGATAAATTAGCATTTCCATTTCTCTGATTGTAACTATCTTTGCTTCAAGAACTCACCTCATGTATTATCGAGATTAGGGGAGCGCTTGGCTTGACAAAAAAAGTAGATCTGCTACCTTTCATAACCTATTATATTATAATTATAGAACCCAGCAACTATCATAGTTTCAAGGCCTATCATTGAAATTATTAACATCGTAAAATTTTAAGGCTCAGCAAGAGTTCAGTAACTAAAAAAGGGCTGATAATTGCTTTAGCAATTATTAATACATGCCTTCTTAAGTAGTTGTTGTTATGAAAAATCTTACCTTTCTCTTTTTCATTAGTAATATCCCATCTGTTCTCTTGAATTTCACTAAAGGTAAGGAAAATGCCAATAATTCTATGTAAATCATTTCTAAAAAATATAAATTGAAATGCATTAAACCAAAAATAGGCACTGTTTTTGGGAAATTTTTTCCGATCTGATTACAAAATTCGTCAAAAAGTTTGTGTTTCGATGCGCAATACTTTCAAAAAGTGAAATATTTGAAAAGTTGCTCCATTGAGCCCACAAACCGAAAATCTGTGGAAGTATGGAATGAGAGAGATACGATTCTTTAATGTACATGAACACTGCTTGGTTGGGAAGGAAAAAATTATTGTTCCTTTCTGGGCGATAATGAAATTTACTTTGTGAGCCCGGAATAAAAAAGAATTTACGTGGAAATTCCATAGAGACAACTGCATTTTCTCAAGTTCCATACTGAAATTTTACTTTTTTAGCAGTTAAGATATGCTTGCTCTCTTCCTCTTTGTAAAAATAAATCGCTAAGAAACTAAGCTTAGTCAAAATTTATATAATTTTTCCATGGAAAACTCTTAAGCAAATTCAATTCGCAATACATTTTAAGACGAAAATAATTGTAAAAGTTGGCAATAAGGCTTGCCTTAAAAGTTAAACTTCTAACCATTAGTTTAATTTGTCCTGAAAATGGATCAATCCATTCAAGTGACTAAACAGCGAACAGGATAAATGGCAGAAATACAAAGATTAATGTTACGAATTGAGTCAAGGTTTGTTTATCGGATAAGAGTGCTAGAGTGTAAAGTAATACTTTTTAGTTATAAAGCAAAAGAAATTGAATTGGCATCTCAGATAATTAAAAAATATGTATATGTAAACTCAGACAAAAAATATTTTATTATCATATCCAAGTTTCAAATACTTCAGAGCAATCTATTGATTTTGAGATCCGAATGAAGAAAACGACTGTCATCTAGATGACAGAAACTGTTAGTCATATAAAAAAAAATATCATAGGAATATATCAGCATCTTATCAAGATGTCCGAGAAGTTAGTTTCACTACTGCAACTACCCTGCATGCAAAAAGTGATCATTTTTTGCTGATATATTCCTATGATAAAAATTTGCATAACTTCTTAGCTGTAAGACAGACGGAACAGTGTTACTGTTCCTACCCCTAATTCCGGTTTTCGCTTTGCGGATCGGAAGACGGGATTATTTCTTATTGCACTGACGGCTAAAATACAATAACTGAGTTCAGAATATCGGATTGTCCATCCTAAAAAATATTTGCTAAATTCAAATTCATTAGTAATTAATGCTAAGTAAGACAGCTTGCTTATCTGTAATCGCAAATTCAAAAAAAAATTCATATCTTTCTTATTTTTCTCAAGTAAGTCGCTGTTGTCTGTCGACATGTGTGTTTGTTTTTTAATTAGCTTATTTATTTGAAAATATAAATAAGTTCGATGAGAAAACTTCTTGTTGAATTTTTACAGCTTTCAAAATAGATTTCATTCATTTTTCGAAGTTAATTGGCAGGAATTATTGATTAATAGGAAAAAAAGAAAGTTCAAAGATCGACTGAAACGAAAATCACTCATTTGGAAGATGCGATAATAGTATAATGCATATTTCCTTTATAGAATTTAAAAGCCATCTGAGAGGCTTATAAAATCGCCGAAAGGAATACTTATTTATGCATATCATTTCCTTCAATATACTTGACAATATGTGATGAGTTATTTAATTAACATTGAGACCCAATAGCTTGCCATAACGAAAATGTACCAAAAAATTCGAAAATTTTCAACCTAAAATTGAAATAAAAGAAGGAAGTGTCAACGATAAATTTAATATGATATCATATGATAATAGCTAACTAAAGAACTTCAAGATACTGGCTAATTTTAAGCCAGTCAATTTGAGGACAAGAAGATAATCTCTAACACCACACATCCACATAGAAACAGCAAGACAATAGAGAAATTACAATCTCTTGGAAACAGCGAAATAAATTGTTAACATTAGCCGATGAAAAGCAGTAAATGGGAACTACTAAGCTTTCCCTGTATAATTGAATTCAATTGAAACTCCAATATATTATAATCATAACAAGTAAGTACCTTTTGTAATTAGCTCATTATAGAATGATAATTTAGTATAGCCAAGAATCGTTGGCCCCAAATTATCGGTTTTGCTCCAATAGCAATAGAATATTGAAGAGAAAAAGGACGTCATATTTCATTCCATTAATTTTATCTGATAAACAGCTCCTTATTAAGTTACCCATAGCAATGATTGAATTATTTGACATATTTTCATTTTATTTGAATATAACTGACAGGAAATAATTAAATCCTAATTTAAGTATTATCTGTTCTAATGTATATTTTTTTGGCAAATGAAAATAAAAATTAGTGAATGGTATGTGAAAATAAAGAAAATAAGTTGAAATGGCTCCCTTTTTCTATGACTTCGGAAGTATTTGTAGGATGGATGTACGCAATAGTGTTTGTCATCAGTTGAGGACACTGTGAGGCCATCGATTTGCTTAATTCAATGAAATGCTTCAAAAATACTTTCATGAACTAAGGATGTCATAGAAACAGAGTGGAATAGAGAATGAAACTATTAACTATAGTTCAGAAAGATTTTTACTTCTTTAAACACTTACGTGTTTACGTGTAATCCAAGAAATCAGCAATTATTTATGCAATTTTCACTCACTGTCTGTCTGTCACTTCGCAATCACATCTATCAAATGTTATGGCGTGTTTACTTCTAACGTTTCCATAAATTTCAATTTTTCTTTTCAGAATGATTTTTGAATATTCGATCTTCTATCTAGGCTATATATAAAGTCATAAGATACATGGAAGAAATAAATGGAACTATGAATGGATTTGTTGGCCAAGTTAGACATTACCCATTGTAAATATCAATGAATCAGACGACAACTAATAAGAGAGCAAGTAATTTTCTTGCTGCTTCAAGTAGGATTTGATTTAGAAATTGAGATATGGAAATAAACACAAAGAAGAATGCATCGATTAAAAAAAAGCAATGTAGAAGATGCGCAATTGTCTCATTCAATATGGTGACTTGTGACAATTACTGGGAGATATTCGAGTATTTTACATGCTTTTGATCACTGAAAACCATAAAAACTTTGACACCAGTTGGATTTCTAAATGTAAACAAATCCAGTGACTACTTCCTCATATTTCTCTTTTCCGTCTTATCTTTTCTGCAAACGATTTATTACATATGAAGCATATATATTTCCTACTAAACTAGGTGGTATATGGCTTGGATTAGAAAAAGTTGCGGTCAGTTTACATAGCTTGACGAAGTAAGCCTAGTCAATGATAGTAATGCTAGATATAAATGCTGCAAGTTGGAAAGGTTGTATAAATCATAGCATTCCATCCGTTCACTTTCTACAACAATATGTGCCATGTAATGTTGTGCATCAGTGTTCAAATAAAAAAGAAAAAAAGCAAATGCTATCCTCTGCAAGAAAGTTAAGTAATGTTTCTCTTCTGAAAGTAACTCAATTTATCGATGGTGTTACTGATCCTTTTCCTAATAGCGCTATTTCATGTAATCGTTGAATTTACTTGAAACGATGCCACTGCAAGTTCTCCAGTAACAATGCATGTAGGACTTTCCATAGAATATATTTATATTTGGAGTAGTCCGTAAATGTATTTATGTTAAAACGAATTAAACTTTAAATTAAATTTTCTGCTAGTAAAGCTAGTATACATTTTAGAATTTGAAAAAGTAAAGAGCAAAATGAAGTAGTTGTTAAATTCTGACAAAGCTGCATCTTTTGAGGAACTGTTCATTTGCTACAATTATTTTGTGATTATGAAACGATTTTACAATATGATGCGTCGTGCTATCATTAAAAGATGCAAACTATGGTCGTCATATGAACAAGAACCTATGCTTAGTAACAAAGTGATAAATATTGGAATGATTTATAATCTGCGGGTCTTTTTAGGATGAGACTTTGTGAAGAAATTTCTAAAATTTAATAATTTGAGGGAGTCTACTTCCTTTAGTCATTCAAATTAAAAATTTATGGCAGTGGAATAGGTGAATATGTGAGGAGAAATGTTCACGTTGATTTAAATTCAAAAAGTGATTAATCACCAGATCGAAGGAGCCATAACAAATTGAAATCAGTTAGAAATTGATTCAAAACCTGGTCGTGCAATAAATAGACGAAATGAAGATCTGAATGTTATCTTCAAGAAATGATAATTGCTGAGAAAAAAAATACAGCCGAAATTTAGCTTTTATGGACCTAGTAGTAATGAAGCATGCAAGGGTGCACCATTTTTTTGCTTATCGATTGAATAAAAAAAATTTGCCAAAATTCGAGCGTCAGGTTTAAACATAATATGAAAATTAGTCTATAGTTTCATTTTTTTCCACCAAATTTAAATTTCATTTAAATACATGTATAATCAAGTACATGTAATACGGTCGAAAGTCATTAAATTCATATTAATTTGGCTAGATGCAATATAAAGTCAATGTTGAATTCGAATTGAATTTATTTTTAAACTAAGATCTACCATGATTACCTCAGCTTTTTATCTTTATTACTGCAAAACAATTATCTGAGTTAAACAAGGAATCTAAAGGGATCCTGCGCATATCACTGAAATCTATCAAATAGTTTAAAGATTAAGTGAAAAGCCTAAATACTTTCTGCTAAAAATGAAAGGATCACGTTCACACGAGAAGACGGAAAAGGAAAATGATGCAGGAGATAGAATCACTGAGTTGATTCAAAAATGAAAGTACTAAACATTCCTCTCATCTTTTTTCTTCCCACATGACACATATCTCAAAACAGCTGTTGCTTCACTTTTTTTTTCTTCGTTTTTTTTTTTAAATTATACATGTTTACAACCGCAGGCCATAATTCATGTTGTCTGTTAAGAATGGAAAACACACCAATTTCATTGTTTGCATTCTTTCAAAATTTTGGAATGAAACAAGGAATTATCATTCATTTCTTATATTTTGCATGCTAAGACAAGTTGAGGGACACTTTACTGAATTAATTAAAAAAACAATCATGTAATAAATCAAAAGTGCTAAGTGAAATGAAATAGTTTGTGTTTAACATATCTTTACTTCTTGTAGCCATTAGAGATAAAAGCATCCCACTTTATTTTGCTTGGCTCATTTTTGTCTCTTTGAAGGACATCTTATGCTTGTTCCGAGCCTAATGAGGTCGTTTGTTTTTCCCTTCTGCTATTCTTCGCGAATTATTTGGATTACTTGAAATGCTCAGTACTTCCAAAATATTCCATTCCATCTTTTTTCGAATATGAAATGATTACCGCAAGCAATGCACTGATGATAAGTTTACAATGGCTTTCATATCATTTCTGTTTATTTGAAGAACTTTATCAAGTCAGTATCTTTTCCCTTTCGTGCCAGTGCATGAATGTTCAGATCAATGCATGTTATGTGTGTTCGTGTGTGTAAGAAGAAAGCCTAGTTATTATCCAACGCATAATCAAAATTTAATACTTCATTAGCATGTACGTGTAGCTTGCTATAATCATGGGGAGAAGTGACATTTACTTTGGAAGCCATCTATAGCGAGAGTGATGTAATTGAAACTGAAGAAAATTTTTGAAACAAAATTCACGAAAATCTTTGAAATGAAATAGATATATGCACGAGCAGTTTGAAAAATTTTTAAACTTGACAGATTTTCAAACATATCTGAAATAAAAAAGTGAAGTAAACATATTTTCAATGACTCAATGACCAGTGGTCATCTTTTAATTCTTTCATTACTACTGTCTTCCTTCTGATGAGAAAATAATGCTATTATATTTACACTACAATATCATCGATTCTTTCTCATATCAGTTTATCAAAAAATAATCTAAACAATGGCTCCTATCACGAAAGGCAAGAAGAAATGCCGTCATAACATTTTAAATTAGGTCCTTCTCAAAATAAACCATTTAATGGATAACAAATGAATAAATGGAGAATGAAATCAAATTTCTAAATCTCATCAATATACATTAAAAGGTCAAGGGACGGGTATTTCAGATACCGCAAGAAGCTCCATATTATGTGGAACTTATCAACCAAACTGTTTGGAATGTACCTCTCTTTTTAAACTTTGAAAGTATCAATTTATGTAGATTTCAATGTATGCTATCAGTAAGAAGCCTAATTACCTGAAATGTAGAAAATGGAAGATCTTAAAATTTGTATTTAAAAAATTAAAAAGGTTTCTTGGGAAACTAGGCTTAATACTACGGCGGTTTGATCTGACACGGCCGAAATAATGGTCACATAATTTAATGAGGTGAAGTAATAGATATAAATCGTTCAATTAATATCAAAATCTGGAATGCAGAAAACAGATAAAATAGTGTATGGAGTAACTTGATGCACTAGAGAAGTAACCTCTTAGTAGTTCTCGAAGGTGAAATAAAGTAACGTTAATTAGCAATGGCTTAGGCCTAACTGTATGAAATATACATGCAGTGAAGTTCTTGCAATTGGCTTTGGTAAGTACACTTAAAGCATTTTCTCAACATTATTACAGTGCTTTGATTGAAAAGAAAATATTTCTGGTAATACCGAAAGCGTGAATTTCATGAATTGTGAAATCAATTTTTCTCGTTGCTGTACTTGTCATTCGTATCCGGATCTTCCCAGTCACATACCACTTAACACTGATTTAATTGAAATTTGTGTCTAACAACTGTTAAAATTCTCGAAAGATAAGGGAGATACTTTTAAATTGCTAAGATTAGGTATCGAAATAAAATAGACTGGGACAAAAATGAGTTAAAATTAGTAGGCAGTTGATTAGAAACCTTTGATAAGTTGAACTGATTTTAGAAAAAAACCACTGAAACGATAGAATTTTTGCATAAAATACAAACGTGACTGCGAATTAGATAATCTTCACAATAAAACTGAAAGAGCAAGATGAAATCGCTTCAGAAACTAACAAAGTCATTTTCGAGTGGTCGCTTTGTTTCTTACGCTTGTAGTAAACTTGCTGAATAGGTTAGACTATAGTAAAGGTCAAGATAGCAGTATAAAAAAGGATCTTTTTTGTTCCAACTTTTAAACCGATTTAATTCGACATAATTTGTTATTTAAGATTCCCCTCCAATTTCACCTCGAAAATTTTTGAAAGTGAATTTAAATACTTTGAACTCTGATTCGATTTTTTTCATCTACAAAGAATAAACTTGTTGGGATGAAAGAATAAAATTATAAGTGAGCTACGGATGGGTACCACTGACCAACGATTTTTTCACTTTTTGATCTCTTTAAGAGCCAAAGGTGAAGCAATTTCGGAGAAAAAGGAATCGAAGAAGAATATTTGCAGAATCCGTGAAATAGTTGAAGGAAATGGACGAGCGATATCAGGTTAGCAAAGTTGACTCATTAAGTGTCATTTCATTTTTTTATTCTTTAACATTTTCAGGAGGGAAAATTGTTTTTATACTTGTAACTACTTAATCCATTAATCAGCGATCATTAATGATGACCTCATTTGTTGCGAATTTATAACGTTTGCATTACTCTGCTAATAGGTGCATGACATTGATTAATTTTTAGCTCTAAAAATTTCAATTACACCAACATTTTGTATAATTATTAATAATAATGATTGGATGATAAATTGCCAAGGCTTAAAATAATGCAATAAGATTTGTCACAAATCTGGCGATTGAGTCAATTGTCTAATAAAATTGATTTGTGCTTAGTAATTAAATGATTACTTAATTTAGTAATTGTAATCCATCATGTGGCACATCTAGTGTCATGAAATGGTACATTAAATAAGACTGAATTGCTTCAGAACAATCCACGAAATTACACGGGAATAATACAACCAAGTAACGATTCTGTTCATAGTTACAGCGGATTTGGCAGATCAGCGGAAGTAATACAAAGTGATAGAAATCCAAATGTAGAATATAACGACACAAACAAGTAAGCAAATGTTTAGCTGTACAAAGAAAGAAAGAGAGAGAGAGAGACTGTTAAAAGTAAGATTTAATTTGATTCAATTTAATGACGATCTGAAAATTGCATTGCGTATATTAATAGCCATTTGTAATATATTAGAAAGTATATTAGATCAAAATGAACTTTTCTGAGTAATATGGCGTATTTTATGAAGTTACTGGTTACTTAGATTTGGTTTAATTGTTTGCTATTATTAACCAACTTTAAACTTCCCAGATTATCAGTTTATGGACAAGAACAGCGATTGAAATCGGGATATGTAAGCGAATTGGAAGGACAGCCACACAGAAGTAGGGAATCATCATCCTTTGTGTACCGAGAACCGGAAAGGACTTATGGAAGCAGAAATGGTATGGAGCTTCAGCCGGATCTTTTGATAAAACAGGACAGGACAAGACATGAAAGACGTGGAAGGCGACATTCTCATCGCAGTAAACACAAACATCGGAAGCATAAACATCATCAATCAAAAACTGAGTTATTCTTGTCTTTTTGAAGCAAAAAAATTTCGAATGCAAATTGATGTCACGGATAGCTTGAATGTAATGCTACCGTTTATCAATGTGGAACCGGATTGATGCCGGATTTCATAGCATGCTTGAATTCATAACAGAACTGTCTTGCAGATCATCACATTAGTTACAGAAAAAGGGACTTAATGACAGAAGCATTTGATAGGTAATAGAGATTATTAAAAATTAAGCATGCAATTGCTTATTAAATTGCAAAATTAAACTTTTGTATTTATAAACTATTTAATTTTTAGGTTATAACAAAAGGATATGTGACAAGTTCTGGAGGAGTTTGTGGGGTTTTTTTAAAGCAAATGAAAAATGCCACCGAAAACATCGAAAACATCGAAAACACCGAAAACGTGAGTGTTTGCTATCAGTTTTTATCAGTTTTTAAAGTTCCTTGAAATAATTATTTTCACATTCAAATACCGCGATATATTTGCAGATCGCCACCGTATCTGGGAACAAGCATTAACCGGCCAGGGATATCCGGCCATGCAAGAAGCGATCCCTGCCAATTCAATACCGGAAGCAAAGATCTTACACGCAGTACCTTCCCAACCAACAACACCTGAAAATCTAACCTGGCTTGGAGCAGCAGATCAAAAGAAAGGGGGAAATGAGGAAAAGAATGAAGAAAAGGATAAATCGAATGAAAAATTCTCAAAATCAAGTATGGTATTGGATTTTTCGAAAAATAAATTAATTGTAGAATTATAGAGCCTGGAAAAGTGCGAAAATAGTCCGAGAAGACATTATATAAGCCAAGAAGGATTTCATCGTTATGGCCATATAATATTCATAGAATTTAGCTACCATTAATAGTGTTAGTTTTGTTGACTTTTCACTATAATAGTGGCTTCAAAATGTTTACAATTTTCGAAATTTTGTTAAGAACTCACGTATTTAAAAGTTACGTATAAAAATCAAAGCTTTGGACAAAAATGTTTGTGAGGAAAAAATGGTATTTTACTTTCAAGTAGTTTTGCGAATTTTAAATTTCTCTGTTAGTTCACTTTTTCAACCGTTTGTTAAAAAACATTCCACTAATAAAGTGATAAAATACGAAATGTTCTAAGAATTTTATTGTGATCTCAACATAAAAAATTAGTGTCCCTTGAAAGTCTTGGCTAAAGTAATTGTCAGAATTCCAGCTTCAATTTTTGCAAAAATTTTGTTTTACTTTTAGCATCGGTGGAGCAAATGCAACAAAAAGTGCCAGAAACTGTATGTTTTATATTGTTGGTAACTTTAGGTCGTCATCAGAGTTGCTAAAGCATTTTTATCACAAAAATTAATTCCTGCAAATTACATCTGATGAGCTTCTTTCCCATTTTGTATATTCACAAAATTTCTTTTGAAATTTAATTTTAAAAAACCAGTTTTTTTTAAATGTTAAGCAACCAATACGTATCTTAGATGAATAAAAATAAAAAATAGAATGACAGCTGACAAATGGGTTAGAATAAAAAAGTGAAATATTTTCTAACAACAAGAAGAAAAAAATTCTTTTAAATTTTGATTAATTATCGGTAGTTTTAAAATAACAACTGTTTCATTGTTCAAAAGGCCACCAGCAATCTTGCAATATCTTGTTCACACATTTCGAGTTTGAAATTTCGAAATACGTAAAAATACATTTCAACTTCAGATTTTTCAATGTTAAGATAGAATTAGATTCGTTTTCAATCTTTGATCATTTTCTGGATTTATAAAAAGTTTCGCCTGAAAATAAGTTGCGGAAAAAATACCGCAGGCGATGAAAATTAGAGACATTATGAGTTAGTTAAAATTGAAGGACGAAATATCATTCTCATTTTGTGTGATTCGCTTACTGAATTAAATTTCGAATATCAGGTCATGATTTAAGATATCGAGAACAAAAACAAGTGAGGAATTATCTCTGGTCAAACATGAGCAGATCAATGAAGATGATCAGCGTCAGCTTCACGATTTAAATTTCCAATTTTTATTGCATATGTTCTATAATTGTAACATTTTTTCAAGTACCATTTAATATTTATGCTATGATTAATGTGTATCAACGAGAAATTTGCATCTCACGCAGTCATTAATGATCTTATTGTAAGCTAATTTAAACTTCACTATCTTCTCATTTTTAAGATTCCTTTTAATGAATCTGTAATTTCGCATTTCAAGCTCATTTGATATTATAGAAATGCGGCAAAAACGGAAAGTAATTCAGTTCATCGAGCAAATTGCAAAAGTTGGAATGGGAGGGATGAAAGATGAATTCGTCCATTGTCGAACTTTTATTCCGAATGCCGTAACTCGGACTGCGCATGACCAGAATCTGAAAAGATGCCGATATCCTGGCATGATTTTAATGCCTTTTGCTATCCAAAGTACGGCAAGAGAAAGAGTGCTTGCTGTATTTACAAAAGTTTGGTTATTTAAAGACAGTTTTAAGTTTAAGGTCTGTAACTTACAAGATTCCTATTTTATTTACAAAATTCAATTTCATTTCCAATAAATCTCAGCAGATTTCATATGAAAAATTTCATGTTATTTTCATTCAGATGTAATATGTATCGACCAAACACGTGTTGTGCTCAAAAGTGGTGACGAAGATTCGGATTTTATACACGCAAGCCGAATTCCACTCGGCGATAATCCTAATGAGGTTTAATAATGTCCTCCAATCTTCTATCTCTAATATATATTGTCGGGATATGAAATGGCATTATTCCTTAAATAAATCCCTCTGAATTCTTACGTCATCTTGCGGTTTTTAAAATAAGTATTTCATATATTTTATCTCCAATATCTTTCAAGGTCTTCTTGTCCGGAATCTTCAGTTTCTTAGATTATCATTACGCAATTGCCATTACCGAATACGGTAAAACATTTCTGGGAAATGGTTTGGCAGGAAAATGTTCGAACAATAGTATTGTTTTTAACTTTAAATGAATGGAAGCAACATGCCGAAAATATTCAGCTGATTCCTGGAAAAGGGTTTGTTTTCAGTGATTAAATTAAGGTTATTTAGATTAGAGATCCGGGAAGTAATTTTCCACTGTTTTATCAGTCAAATCTCAAATTATACCCGTTGGTTTTTAATTTAAATTTTGAATTTTTGATTCATAAACTTTAAATAATGCAGAAAGTGCTTGCACATTGAGGAATTTATGGTGTTGACACATAAAAATGAAATTAATATCGCACCTGATTGGCTGGTGCATGAGTACTATTTATCAAAAAGCAATGAAATACGTCGAATTTTATGGTATCACTACAGTGCTTGGGAACCAAATAGATCACCAAAAGATTGCGAACATTTATGGCCTTTACATTCATCCTTAAGGTACATTTAAGGCAATTAATGTTTCATTAAGTATTTTAAGTTTCCGATGAAATATAAGTGTTGCAACCCTGTCTTGAACTATTGGATTCACTCTGTGTACGTTCATTAAATTGACTTTTCCTTTTCCAATTCATATGGATTCAAGAAATCATCATTTATGGCACCAGCTGTTTAATTATACCATATAGCTAACCTTTCAGATCCAGCGGATATTTGAATATAAAACAAAACTTTGTTATCCATATCCCAGACAGCAATACTAGGATCACAGAAATAATTATAGAATTTTGTTTATCCTTTCCGCAGTGCATTTCTGTTTCATTTAGAAAGATGCGTCGACCATATATATGTATGAGTCTTGCTGGAGTAGGAAGAGCTGGATGCTATGCCGCTTTAGAAGTATGAGTTTCTCTAGATAAAAATTCTCTATATCTGTCCACTTTTACCAATATTTCCCACCCTTTTTACAGTTCAAAGGACTAAATACTACTTTAAGCTTTGCAGTGATCGGATAAGATAACATTAATATAGAAAAGCTAATATATATTATTATTATTGAAAAATTCGAAATTTTAAATTAACTTCAAATTCTTTAATACTTTTTCAGCATTACTTTTGTATTCCTGTCAGATTTATGCATAATTACTTAAAATAAACTTAAAGTTTCATTGAAGTGTACGTTTCATCCACCTGTTACTTTAGTGGGCACACTTAATGCTGCATGATAAAAGAGCTTCAGCGGTAAATATTGCTGAATGTGTGCGGAAAGTTCGTACGTATCGAATGCATGCTGTACAAACAGTTGCGCAATTTCAATTCCTCTATATAGGCATTCAGCGTCACATTTTTCTTGTTGAGGTTAGTCGAACACACAAACAGTCCAATAAATCGATCGTTTTCTGAATGATGAACTGATTTATTGTTTAAATTTTGAATTATATCATTTAGTAGCTTCAAAAAGATTCCATCAAATTCTTTTCAAAATTCACGAACTGTTTCTGATTTCCCGACGTGAAAACTTGTCGTCATGAAGATGGTTGACAGTACCGATACTTGCTTTGAGCACGCACCATAACTTCCTCTTAATCAGTGTTTTATGCTTTGGCAATATTTGGCCCTAATTAAACTGCTTTAATTTAAAAGAAATTGCATTCATTAACTAAACTTATCACCGTATCTTTTAGAAAATTATTATTGAAATTTGACACTTGACCAAAATCACTTCAGAAATTTCGAAAAGAAATTTCGTCTGAACAGGCAATATTTGAAGCAACAAAGAAATGTTCTTTAATTGAATATAATTATTTTCGATCCGGTGGTTATCCAACAGATGATGATTTTGACTTGTTACTCAACAGATGACGAACTTCAAATTTTCAAAAATTTATTTAATTATGCATTAATTGTGCAATTTGAATCTATTTAATTAAACGAAAATTTATTTAATTATGTAATTATGCAGATTCATTTAATTACATTTAGTATGTCAGCACTTAAAACTTGTTTTGCATAATTCATAAAGGACAATAAACACATATCAAAGATAATTTAGTTCCCTACAATTATTTCTTGTTCAGGATGAAAGTAATAAAAATTTTATAACAAGCAACAAATGGTTTGACATGACCTTGCAAGATTGGAGACCTGGAGAACGGAATAGGGTATCGGAAAAACCGAAACAATTTATACATTAAATGCTTAGAATATTTCTAATGATTCATCACTGCATTATTCACCAAATTACATCAAAATTATCTCCCATACGTTTCTTTGTTATCTTTGTTTAACGAAAATACACATCTTTACAGTTTCCTTTGTATCTAAATGAATACTTTTTTTTTAACGTTTTATGTAAACCACTCCTACTTCTTTATGCACATGACCCTTTTGTAAAAAGGTTTTCCTGGACTGGTGCTCTTCCATAGTATTCTTACTTACAACAGCTTTTGACTCACGGTCAAGCGATTTTCCACTCGTTATTCTTCAATAACCCTGCTGATCAATTCTGTATTATATCAATAAAGCGATAAATTTTGCTCTGTCCTTACAACGTATATTCGACGTCTTCACAAGGTAAGCCTTTAATTAAAGTTCTGCTTGATCCTAACTCAAGGTTAAACCTTCTAAATCTAAACGACTCGATAAAAGGAAAGAATTTTTTCACAACATAGGGTTCCTCCGAGAATCAGTATGCATACTTCCTTAACATATTTATCATTGCTTCAAATATCGTTATCGGTAGAATAAGGACTTCACTGGATGTTGACATCCACTTCAGCGG